AAAGTATGTTGGGCTACAACTGCCATCATCTGCCAGACATTTTTTAGCCTAATGAACTTAAGAGAGCATCTGCAGGAGGGAAATATTGTTCTGGGAAAATTAACCCAATCAACGAGATGCTGTTTTCAGGAGACAAGGAAAACAACACATGATATTGCCTCAGCTCCATTTGGGGGGCAGGGGGCGTGGGGTGGGGATAGTGGAAGATCTTGGGTTATGTATTCCAATGGCTATTGAGCCAGACTACACATGAAAGCCTCTATCAACTCCCTAATTAATCTGTTTTTCAAAATGTCTACAGTCATATTGAGGTTTTCAACAAGAGCAAGCAATTCAGCAAACCACCACAAGGTAGACCTTGGAGAGAGCTCCACACAAGGGGAAACAGGTTTCTTGCATACACACAGAGCAGATTGTTTTAAACCATATGGTGTACAGCTAGGGACCAGCAAAATCCCACCTCATGTGCACCCCTGATTCACAAGGCCAAATGTCATACCAGTAGGTGGAGGGGTGTGTGAAAACGTTGAGCATACGAGATGCCTCTATCCAGATGGGTGACCCACTGCTGACAAAATCTGTCTTGTTAGTGGTTTGAATTTACCTCACCACCTTTGTTTACAGTAGGATGGATGTTCAGACATTAGGAAAAGGGGATTGGATGAGCACTAGTACTTTTTCATCAAGTTAGGATGATTATGAACATGGTGGGGTGTTCGACTTTCCATGACCATCACAGTTTATACGTGAGATGTGCTCACCTGTGATCTCAAATACTGCTTCAGGCTTCGGCAATCTTTTAAAAAGAATAGCATCAGTGCTCTGGAGAAAGGAATGAAAATATGTCATGGACACTAGCCAAGAGGTACCCTTCACAGGCATATCTTCCACATTTTGGCTTTGCCATGTTAAAAACATATATATAACTGATGGTGGTTGTTTTGAAGAGCTCACCTTGGTACCAAACAAATACATTCACCGATCAACAGAATGAAGCTGTTCCTCTTATACGAATCCTGAAACAAAACTGTATAGTAGTACCTCAGTTTATGAATGCCTCAGTTAATGTAATTTTTGGTTTATGAATGGAAATCCATTGAAATTAATGCCTCGGTTTACAACTTTTCCCTGCAGTAAGAAGGAAGTTTCCCCAGGATGCATTGTGCCTGGAGGTTTATAGCACCACCCCTGTTCCTATGGCAAACCTCGTTTTGGTTTACCAACTTTTCACATTACGTAATGTCCCAGAGAATGTATTAGATTTGTAAACTGAGGTACTACCGTAGAAAGAACTCATAGTAAATAAAGAGAATTGTGTTCAAAATACAGACAGCTAGGTTCCACTTCATTGTTTATTATCTAATTGCACTTGCACTGCTTTGTAAGCCGAGTAGAGAGCTGGGCTCATACTCATGCATGTTTATTGAGGAATAAATCCCATTGTACTCAGTGGGACCACTGGGTATAAATGCTTAGGATTACGCATATATGGCTCATCAATGTTCATTCTAACACTGATTCCACAAAAACAGTGCTTTTTAATATGGGCAGAACTTGATCATGTCTTTGCTCTTCAGTGAGGAAGTCCATCCCATACTGGTAGTTTTATAAATGTTTGGAACCCCCTCAGCATTTTTATTTACTTGCTTCTATAAGGATTACAAAACAGAGTGTATGGTTATCTACATCTTTATTTTTTTACAAGTTTTTTCAAATAATGATGAATGGAGAGCATTTGTTGAAAAAAAAAGACTGAACAATAACAACCCCATCCCAAATATGCAAAATTGCTCATTTTCCCCACTGGTGCTATATTACTTTATCACTTCCTGAATAGGTTTGATGTATTTTATTTGTTTATGTAATAAGATTACAAAATTCCCTGAGCATGATTCTCAGCACCATTATGGAGACCACATAGGTCCACAGTTGAACAGCTGAGATTAAAAACAAAAATTATATGACACTTTTTTATTCCTTGTAATCTCTTTAATACTGTGAAATACTTTTCTTTTTTAAAATACAGTATTTTCTGAGGTAGACCATTACAGTTCAAACGCATTTTCTCAGACATTAATAAGACATGAATTAAATACTTTCATGTACAATATGTTGCAAAACGAGGTAGAAATGGTTACAGAGGATGCACAAAGTAAAAAAAAATGATTTCTTTTTAAAATCTTCAAAATTCCAGTACCACTTTTTGGAGGAAAATAATAACAAAGCAAAAAGAGGAGGCAATCTTCCTGAGGTATATATCTTTGACACTTAACGAAACATATTTGCAGAGGAGGTACCAGATTGATATGCACAGATTGTACCCACAGCTATGACAAGTTCCCTTTACAAAATCAACAGATTCGGTTTTAACGGCATTGTAGGCCTATGTCTATCCAAGATCATGAGTTTCACTGTCATGGTTGGCTTTGAAAACACATGGACAAACTAATAATCTATGATTTTACACGTATAAGCTTCACCTACTGTGGTACAGTATTCACCCACTTTCCTGGAAGCCCTTTCCCAATGATATGCCTACTAAGGGACAAAGGTACGGAAGAAGGTACTGGGGGGCAGGGGCAGGGAGTGCACTTCTAGAGTGCACAATCAGCCCATGAAAAATTCCACTTGGCTCCATTGATGCCTTGCATAAACCAAGCACATTACTGGGGCCATACACGCTACTTCCCTGCAGGTGTGCACAGTCTGGGAAAAACCCCAGTGGGGAGCATACTGGTGCTTCAGTAAGGTACAGTTGCTGTCACAAATCTTAACAGATCTGTGGTGTTCCAAAGAACTTCCAGTTTCCTCTGAGTCATTTTGAAAACCATCAATCAACAGGAAAAGAAAATGTGTGCCTGAAGACACCAGCCCAAGACTCCATATTTGATTAAAATTAGTGAAGTGTGCCTTCACCCTGGAACTCACACTGCAAGCTTGGGATTTAGAATCCAGTTTTATTTTGCCAAAGTAACCCCTGGCTCAATTCTGCTCAAAAAGCTCCACTGGCAAACCAGGGTGGGCAGGGTGGGCAGTGATGCTTTGCTGAATTCACACTGCCAGAGCACCACCTGTCCTGGAAAGGCAGATTTTAAATGGACACAGCAGGAAGAGTTTATCCGGGGCATCTGGAAAAAACACCTCCCTCCGTTTCCTCCCCTCCCCTTTCCCCAAAAATGTTCCTCTAGATCAGACGACATCCATAGTCAGAAGCTCCACAGTAGTGAATGCACTGAACATTTGGGATGGATTTCGCACCCTCTACCGTGTACACCAATGCATATTCTAAGGGGTTATTTTTACTAACACTTGCTGACTCACAGCTGGAGGATTTGGGGGGGGGGAGAACAGAGAGAGAGAGAGAGAGAGAGAGAGAGAGAGAGAGAGATCAACATTAAACTTGGCTGTCTAGATAAAGTTTCAAAAGCAAAGTTGCATTAACATAAAGAGCACAGAAAATTACCTTTTAGAGCACAGCCCACAGAATCTCCCAGCCAACATGGTCCGTGTCATAGGGAATTTGGGGAGCTGTTGTCCAAAAGATTTTTTTTCTGATTTCTAGATAGAGTTTCCCTCCAATGCTATGGAGGGAGAACTGAGCCTAAGACACAGATCTAAATCCAAACACTGGTTGGCAAATAAAGGAAAGTGATGTCACCGTCATAGACACTTTTCTCCCTGGTGGAGATTGCCAAACTTTTCCAGTACATAAGGAATTTTGGAATTGTTCTAGATCCCTCAAGAACCTCCAGGTACGCATACACACCCAAGCTCACAAACACCCAAGCAGAACTCTTTGAAAGCACTTAACCATAATAAGGGAGGGGGTGGGAGAGAGAGAAATATCTTTGAGGTGTTTATTTTTATTTTTATTTTATTTTATTTTTATTTTTTTTGCATTTGGGGGCCATATAGCTGCATCCCAATTTACAGCTGGGGGCAAAATTTAGGTCATGAAGTGCTGAAATTTTTAGTCATGACTGAAACACAGTGGAGCAAATACTTCCCACCAAACACAAATATTCACAAACATGCCCCATAAAAGGAGTACTATGAATTCCCTCTAAGTCACTCCTGTAACACCTTAGTCTCACAGCTCTATATACTCAATGTTCCTGCTACCTGATTCATTTTGTAATCTGTTCATGGAAACCCATCCCTGCAAGTATCACAACTAACTGGAACCTCCCTGGTCAAGGGCAGTATACCTCAGCATATTAGCATGCTGAGACGAAACTATCAAGGAACAATGTTAGCCTGTGAATCTGCATGTCAGCTCTATGAATGCACTTAGCTGGCCAATGTTGCAGAGTGCTGGACTGTGTGCAAACACTGTGTACAAACATTTGCTTTATAACTGAAGCAAAAAGGCAATGCAAAGGAGGGGAAAGTTACTTTTTTGGACTCCAGCTCCAAGAATCCCCATCCAGTACAGTCAGTTCAGTTATAGCCGAAAATAGGGAACGTTCTAAGATCTGGTCTGAACCCCAGACACTGTGTCAGTGCTTGCCCTGCTTGAAGACAACATTAATTTTAAGCTTTTTTTATTTTATTTTTTGGAATACCCACGGTAAATGTGGCATCAGTGCCCAGGCACAGCAGGGGGATTCTGAGACTTGTTCAAGAAGGTAACTTTTCTAGGCTCTGAACAGAAGGCAAACCAGCAAGGTGGACAGAGAAGGAACAGGTCACAAATAAGAAAGGCAAAGGCCGAGATGAAGTCTGACCCCCCCCTCACACACACACACCTCTTACCAACCTCACCTTGTAATTTCTTTTTTAAGTAATTTCCCCTAATGAATGTCCCAGTTTCAGATCCCAAATTCACTTTTTTTTCTTTCAAGAAGTCAACTTCCCTTGTCCTGACCTCTCTCCTTCTCCTCACAAATAACCTAGTCTCCTTTTCCTCACTCACGGTGGTCCCCCCGGGGCAGACCAGCTCTGCCTCCCTTTCACCCTCCTCTGTCAACCCTAATCCTGCTCCCCTCTTTTCTTCCCAGCCTCCTCAGCTCCATCTCAACGAGGCAGAAGAACAAAAGAACCATAACATGAGGGGAAAGAAGGAGCAGGCTAACCAAACAGAAGCACCAAATATGAGCCAGCGTCTCCCTCTCAGCTCTTTTCCACCATCTTTGCCCACAAAGGGTAAGAATCTCTGCCACCTTTCCCTCTTCCCTGTTGAGGTAGCCATAGAACAAGACCTAGGAATCCCACGCTAGTAGCTTGTACCTCAGAGCCATCTTCTGGACAAAGAAAACAACAACAAAAAAAAAACACTGTGCTTAAGAAAGCGATCCGGCAGGCAGTGCGAAAATAGGTCATCCTATCCTTACTTCACCGTTCTTCACCCTTGAAATAGGAGTAGTTTTCAGAATCAAAATCTTACCACAGGAATGCTCAAGGGAAGTCAGTAAATCTTTGGTACTACCCTAGAAGCAATCCTTTGGCTAGGGCGGATGGTGGTTCACACAGACATAATCATAATTCTATATAAATGTTAAGCCCACCCACCCAACAGCAAGCTAAACGCTATGTACACAAACTACATGCAAAACAGACCATTCAGTGCTATGTGCCACCTTCTCTATTTTTGCTGTATGTGCATAATTTACTTTGAAACACATTATTTTGCAACTTTGGGGGCTAGAAAGTATGTACGTATGAATGACATTTAGGAGTAAGAGGTGATTTACTGTCAGCAATTCAAATTCTAGGTTAGCAGTAGGCATTTATTTGCTGCTTTTGACATTGTCCTGGGGCCCTGAAATTTGCTTTTAAAATGAAATCTGTCATTTCCAGAAAACCTACTTCTATTCTATTCAGTGTTACAAAAACAGAAAGCATAGACTCTGCTGATTCTGATTGAGAGAAGCTATTTAACTTTACAGCGCAAAATGAAACACAGTGGCTGTTCCGCATGTGTCTAAACATGGTGATGTATATTATGTCAACACCCTGCTCCATGCTGGCAGCTGGACATGTTACATATTCAAGGAGGTTTCTGCCTGCTGCCTGACTCTGTGTGTGTGCAGCTGCACGCATGCTCTTCTCTCCATAAATTATCTTTCACACGCCAGAGTAGAGAAATTATTAAAAATCAGGTTAAAAATGCTTTGTGGGTGGCTTCCAATCCAGCATTAGAAAAATGCTACTTCAATTTCTGTCTTCAGAATATTAGCTTTTATTGGAGTTTGTTGTCAAGGAAAAGGCAGAGAGAAAGAGAGACTAATTCTAGTGCCTGTGTATTTTCAGTAAATCCTGCTATGTAACTATGCAGACATAACTTGACATTATGCCCATGGTAATGACGACAGTGGCAAGATGGGCATGCTATCCATGAAGCACTTCTGCTGGGGAACTGTGTGACCGATTGTGCCCTGCCCACACAACTGTCTACATGATCAAATTGTGCAATTCCTTGTTGCCAGGCATAACGCCCATCACATTTATGCAAGACTAACTGTACATTAGGGGACGTGGTGGCGCTGCGGGTTAAACTGCAGAAGCCTCTGTGCTGCAAGTGCAGAAGTCCAGCAGTCGTAAGATCGAATCCACGCAACAGAGTGAGCTCCCGTCGCTGGTCCCAGCTCCTGCCAACCTAGCAGTTTGAAAGCATGTAAATGTGAGTAGATAAACAGGTACCACCACAGTGGGAAGGTAACGGTGTTCCGTGTCTAGTCGCGCTGGCCACATGACCACGGAAACTGTCTATGGACAAACGCTGGCTCTACAGTTTGGAGACGTGGATGAGCACTGCCCCCTAGAGTCGGACATGACTGGACTAAATGTCATGGGGAACCTTTACCTAACTGTACATTAAACCGACAGAAACAGGATTTTGCCTTTTGCCTCATGGGGCAAATGACAGGACTTTGAGACAGGACTTTCATCATAGAAGTTATATGGAGGAGAAGGCTTAATTATTCGTACCCAGTGCTGTGACCCTGATTTGCCCTCCTCTATTAGCTCCTACTAAACATTCAAAACAAAATGTGATAGAAAGAAAAAAGTGAGAGAATGGGGGAAAGGGACCAATTGATGGGGAAAAACGATAAGACTTGTGTGGGAAAGCCTACAGAGAAGCAAGGGAACACCTCTAAATGGAGACAAGAGGCGGCACTGAGCTGCCATGAGCAACTCATGCTGTGCTAGAATACAGTTTTCTCTCCTCAATCCTATTCTTGTGAGGCAGAGGAGGTAACAAGGGTGTTGGGCCAGCTATACTATAACTCTTCTCTACCCCATGACCTAAGAATGTGTGAAGTTTTGCTACACCCCGGGAAGTGCAGGTACATTTGTTTAAAAGGAAATTGAGACAGCTGTAACTCTGATGAACAACTCTGATGACCATCATCCCTCACTGCAGGCTAAGGTCCTAAAGATTAATGAGATTTGGAGTGCAAGAGCATCTGGAAGGCCACATGGATCCCATCTCTGATTTAAAGGTGACTCTGTTTGGGGAAGAAGGACATATCATGGAGCAAGTGTATATATTCCTTGACCCTGTCAGGGTGTTCCTTGGGGCGGGGGTGGGGTGGGGGAGTACGAGCTGTCTGTAATTTCCCTGCCAGCTACCCCAAACTGGGCCAAAGACATGGAGAAAAATAGCCTGGGAGAAGAGGAGCAGGAGGCTGGGGAAGATGGCAGCATTTCCTCCTGCCAATTCTCTCCTCAGGTTCAGGGCAGCCATGGCCTGGCAAAAGTTGGATCAACAGGCATCCTTGCTCCATCAAGGCACAGTTCTGCCCTCAGCCGCTATTTCTGGGAAACAAAGTGCAGAGTCTGAAGCAGCTTCTCAAGTCAGGAAAAACAGAGGGTCGTATTTAGCGTTGCTAAGTCACTAGGAGGCTAGAAGCTGGGCTCAGAAGTCAAAACACCTTGAGATAACATCAAAAACGACAACAACCAGCAGAGAGATGTATGTCAAAGGGAAGGAGTCAAAGGTTGTAAGGAATGCCTGACATGGAAAAATGCACACCCTTAAGTAGCTGGGACCACGTTTTCCTTGGAAATAATAATGGCAGGAAAGTATCCACATAAGCAAGAAAGGAAACAATAATTATAACAACACTGTAATAGAAAAGTACTCTCCTTAATTCCAAAATAAAGTGCTATTAGATGAGGGCAAACTACCTTACTGAGAAATCCAAAAGCATCCCGCCATCCCTTATATTTTGGCTGATTTGAACACTGAAGGCAATGCCTTTACTTAATTCCCTTACTTGCTTCCAGAGAATATGAACAAAGACTGCAATAACTGGCCACAATCCCAACTATCAAATCAAAAACAGGCATCTTGCCAATAATACCAGCTTTAGCCAGACAGGATGTTTGCATTAGGGATGGGGTTTTCAGAATTAAAGGACTCCAAGTCCCATGATTCAGTAAGAACTCCCTAGACCGAATGATGAGACTGCGATCTCTCAAACCAGCAGGAGGTAGAGCAGCCCCCTTATTTTAATACTTTCTTCCAATGCCATTCCTCTTAAAGGTTAGAAAAGGGCTCCACCGCACTGTGGGGAGTCGCAAGGATTCCCTGTGCCTTGCAAAGGTGCATGGGGGGTGGTGGAAGAACCATGTTCTGATGAGGCTGGAACAAAAGAGTGAGACAGAGAAGGGCAACTAGTCTCAATGATGCAAAGAATCAAGAAGAAAGACCTGCAGTGCAGACTTTGACTATATGGCCCAAAAGAAGACACACAGGTTCACAAGTCAACAACTTAAACGCCAACAGACCTCTGTTATCTTACCCTTTATGGATTATCACTAGCAGGTCTGGTAGAAAATGCCAGTGAACAGCTGTTAAGACCCAAAACATTATGGAAAACCAGTACGACTGAGTTTAGGTACATGTGAGAAATCTGACCAATGTTCTGTAGATCCCAAACCAAAGTTAAGTGGCTGTTCCAAAATGACCAGCAAAGGTTTCCCCTTTCAGTACTTTCCAGATAATGTGGGCAGGAAATATTTGACAGTTTATTCCTATTTTTATGCTAACCTGTGCTAGGTTTGTACTGTGATGAAAGTGAGTGAGGAAGAGTGTGACAGTAGCTTCTAAAAGTACTGTGCCGTACTGCTGTCTGAAAATGTAAATTTTCTAACTTGAAAGAATGGGAATGTTAAAGAGAACCATGAAGTTCTATTTTAAATTTTAACATAAATAAATAAATCTATAAACAAATCCAGAAAGGGTGAGCCAGTGAGTCTTCTAACAATGATAGCTTCTGGATGATCACTACAATGACACTGTGGGACAAAGCAAAAGCAAAGCGTGCTGCTTATATACCGCCCCATAGTGCTACAAGCACTCTCTGGGCGGTTTACAAGTTAATTATGCAGGCTACACATTGCCCCCCCTCAGCGAGCTGGGTACTCATTTTACCGACCTCAGAAGGATAGAAGGCTGAGTCAACCTTGAGATTGAACCCCAGGTCGTGAGTATACTTTTGGCTGCAGTACAACGGTTTAACCACTGCGCCACAAGGCTCCATTTAAATCATATGGAGATAATGCTTCTACAACAGAAGGATCTATGTATTATATGAAAGCCAAGAGTACCTTCACCTGTTGATTAGTCACACCCCACAGTGACTAAACACCACCACCCCAAGAATTCAAGATGGAATAATGCTTTAAGCAAGGTGTTTAATTCTCAGTAGATGAGGTCATCAAGAACACCAGGAGGCAGGATTCATCTCTACCATAGTATCCCTTTAATGGAATAACAGAGACTACAAGAGTATCTGCACTACACAGGTTTAGCAGTTTGACACCACATTACTTGGTATGGTTGTGTCCTACAGAGTCTTTATATTTTTTAGTTTAGAACGGTCCTCAGAATTTTCTGTTAAATAACTCCATTCCACTCCTCTGGACAACAGCAAAGAATTCTAGGTCCCTCATCAAATACAAACCTCAGCATTTTTTAGGATGCAGACATGGCAATCAAACCACTGTAAGTGTGGTATAGACCTTGCTGCTCCCAAATCCAACTGTGGATCTAGCATAAAGGACCTAGCAAATCAACACACAGCACTCACACTGAACTTACTAGAGAATCACAACAGGTATTAGGAAACCACTAGGAAAGACAGAAACTTCTTCCACTAGAGAAGACTGAAATAAATACTCCTACAGAAAAGGATCTGGAAAAGCCAGAAGCCAGCTTTGTCAGGTAAACCATTTCTTCAACCCACTCTTGATAACCATGTGCCATCAAGTCAATTCAGGTGGATGGTGACCCTTTTTCAAGGTTTTCTAGGTAGAGAATACTCAGAAGTGGTTTACCATTCTTTTCCTCTGGTGGCCTTCTGGGACTGCATAGTTTGCCCATAGCCATACAGACTGGCTCTTCTCCCAAGAGGCACAGACAGAGGTGAATAGAAATCGTAAACTCTGGCTCCCCAGCCAGATGCCTAACTCACAGAGCTCTTCAACCCGCTCTGCACGGCAGTAAAAGCTAGCACCCACTCCGCATTTCTTCCTTTGACATATTTACTTCATAAAAAGCATTCATGTAACAAAGCAAAAAAAAAACCATCATTCTAACCTTCCACTAAACTTTTCTGAAAAACAGATTTCTTCTATACAAAGTTTTCCTTGCATAGCTTAACACAAATTCAGGCGATAAAATGTCCTAAAGAGCAATGTGAATGCGAGCTATGTTTTGGAACGCTAGAAAGGCTCACACGGGGTTGCCTTTGGTCACTGCAGCTGTCAGACAGTAATGTTCAAAGTTAAGGTAATGCTTTGGACTGGCCAAGCATCACTTCGATGTAAGCATTCTTTCACTTCAGCCAATTTCCATGCGACACTTGGCAGAGCCATCTGTGTAACTCAGACCCAGATATGCCTCTTTGGGCAGGGACGATAAACCCTTGCTTGTGAGGATCAGAAACCACCTCATTATCCTCCTCTCCTGACCACAAGGCCAAGTATTTTGTGGAGTTCTCTGCAAGAGACAAGAATAACCATTTTTGCACAAATGAAGCAAAATTGCACAAATGCTACTTCCATGCAAAGAACGCTATGATGCAAATAGTCCAGATGGAGCAAAAGACAGTGGCTGTTGCTTTGTTGCAATGGCTTTAAAGATTAGAAGCATGGGAGGGTGTGTGTGTGTTTTTTTAACATGCAGCCAGTCCCTAAGTGCATACTGTGTCTATTTGCTCTTCTTTTTGTAGGGAAAAGACTTCTAGTTTTGCACACACACACTTTGTTCAAATTATGGAAACACTTGAGGAAAAAATAGCACTCCTGGTTGCACCTCAACTGGAGGCAAGTAATCTCACAGGGCATGAATATCCTTTGCTCGGGCATCTCAGCAGGATAGCCAATATTGAGAGCAACAAAGAATATGGCAATTATTCTTCAAATCCTAAGTGGTGGGTAGAGCAGGGCAAGAGTTCCAGCTTATTCGTTTTGATAAGAATTAAAGAGAACTTACAAAGCTTGTCACATTTGAGAGGGAAGGAATTTGAAATTCTATCAAACTGAATGTGTGGAACTATGAAACAGACAGATCCATCCATCTAGGCTCAAGGTTTTAGGTTCTCAAATTTTCAAAGTCTGAATGTGAATCCCGACATGTTCAACTATGTCAGTGCTCGGAGTTGCCATCTCTTTCTCCTGACAGGCTCTTCCTCTTTAACACATATAGATTGAAGGTACAGCACAGCCTTCTCAGTGCTGGGAACAGCTGTTATCCAATGGATGTGGCCAGTGAATAATGGGAAAGAATTTTGTTTCTATTTTATCTTTTGAAGAATGTGTTGTTCTTTGTTATCAAGTCACCTCTGACTTAGGGATCTTCAAAATGACCTCAACAGACCCTATCAGCTCTTGTAAACTGAAGCCTATGGGCTCCTTTGGGAAGTCAATCCAGCTCGTATTTGGTCTTCCTCTTTTCCTACTGCTTTCTACCTTTTCCAGCATTACGTATTGTCTTTTCCAGAGAATCTTGCATTTTTGTGATGTACCCAAAGTAGAACAGCTTCAGTTTCATCATTTTTGCCTCCAGAGATAGTTATGGCTTGATTTGATCTAGGACCCACTTGTTTGTCTTTCCAGGGTATCCACAAAACTCTCTAGCATCATATTTCAAACAAATCAGTTTTTCTCCCATCAGCTCTTTACTGTCCAACTTTCAAACCTATACATGTTGATCAGGAATACAAAGAGTATGGATGATCTTTCTTTCTTTCTTTCTTTCTTTCGTTCTTTCGTTCTTTCTTTCTTTCTTTCTTGTTTGTTTGTTTGTTTATTTATTTATTTATTTATATCCCACCTATCTGGTCATTATGATCTTGATTTCCAGTAACACATCTTTACACTTGATTATCTTTTCTAATTCCTTCATTGCTGCCTTCTGAGTCTCAACCTTCTTCTGGTTTCTTCTAAGTATGAAGAACTAACACTCAAAAATGTCTTTGTTTTGGGAAGGGGAAAAATAATGTTTAAAAGAAGCTAAATGTAGGAGAAAGTGAAACTCGCATTTTCCCCAGAGAACTGGGTGCAGAAGTTGGGAGTTCAATTCCCCACTGTGCCGCTTGGGAGAAAGGGCAGCCATCCATATCTCTGGGCAAGCTGCAAGGTCCCAGGGAGCCCCCAGAAAAAAGGAAGGGTAAACCTCTTCTGAGTCTACTTGGAAAACCCTGGGAAAGGTTGTCCAATAAGGTTGCCCAATAACTGACTTGATGGTGCACAGATATTACACTGGAGATCCACTTCAGGTCATGGCACATTCGCAATCAATTTGCATCCTGTTTCTGGCCTGTCTACATCACCAGGTTCTTTATGTTAATCCCGCTGACTTACATACAGTATTGGGTCATCTTCTGCCACAGAATAAGGAAAGTGATCCCTAGCACTTTCGTAAAGATGTCATTCCAGTCAATCGTCCTTCCTCCTGGAATAAATTTCTCTGGCTCTGTCTATAGCATGCATGCTTTTAATGGATTTGATGTTCATTTCAGTTTATCACACAGAGAGGCCAGACACAAATTCTTGAGTTCAGCATGGAAAGACTGCAAGTGCTGCCTGCAACCACTAGAGTCCACAGTGGCTGCATGTATTGAATTTCAAGAGGCTGCAGGCAATGAAGGAAAAAGATAGACAAGCAACGCTTCCGTCACACACTTATTCAGAATTAAATTCCACAAAGTTTAACACAGCCTGCTTTCTGTTTATACAGTCCAAATCTGTGTATGCAAACTCTGAAGTATGGCTAAATTCCAAAAAAAAAAAAAACTTACTGCCAATTAATGTATAGGACTGCACCTTCAGTGTTTTAGCTTGCAGCTGTGATCCTGTACACACTTACAAAGAATACATCCTACTGAGCACAGCAGGGCCTACTTCTGAGTACACATATGTAGGCTGAGTGTACGCCAACCAGAATGTTGAGTTGCATTACAAGGGCCACCACTATATCCTCTTTTGCATTATCAGTAGTGGGACGTTTGCCTAAGTTGTGAGGCAGACAGACAACAAAATGTAGTCCTCATGTACAAAGTTATGGACTGAACCACAACCTACCTGCAAGAACAACAGATAGTAACTTGGAAGTTGGCAAAACACATCAGATTCCCGCCAACTAAAGCAGAGTGACCCATGAGCTTTTGTCTCTGAGCTCTCTTCTCTTTTACAGGGACTTTTCTGTCATCCACAACAAAAGCAGGTATCTTGCAGGGACAAAGCAGATCCCTTTTCTTCCCCAAGTATGTAATAAGGTATCTGAAAAATGCTTAAAATCTTCCTATTGAATTTAACTTTATAAAGATAACACAAAAGGTCACACAAATATATGAGCTTGCAAGACTTCCAAAGCGTTCATCTGATAAGATGGTACAAAGCTAGTTGAGCATGGTGGACAGGAGTGGGATTTCTTAAAAGGGTAATTTTATATTGAATTAATGGTATCTGCATGCTCAGGCTAAGATGAAATGGTGATGGAACCACTACATGTTCAACATCCAGTTAGCACTTCCACCTTCTATACATCTGCTTTTCAGATTATTTTGCCTTGAAAACTTACATATTTTTGTGACTTTTGAGATGGCCTAATAATAATAATAATTTTTTAAAAAGGGATGTGGTGCCGCTGAAGGTTAAACTGCAGAAGCCTCTGTGCTGCAAGGTCAGAAGATCAGCAGACGTAAGATCGAATATACGCAACGGAGTGAGCTCCCGTCACTTGTCCCAGCTCTTGCTAACCTAGCAGTTTGCAAGCATGTAAATGCAAGTAGATAAACAGGTACCACCAAGGTGAGAAGGTAACAGTGTTCCATGTCTAGTTGCGCTGGCCCCGTGACCATGGAAACTGTCTACAGACAAACTCTGGCTCTACGGTTTGGAAATGGGGATGAGCACTGCCCCCCTTACCTTTCCCTTAATAAATTAAATATGGATTTTAAAACTTTCAGTTCATATTCGGTTCTGAGTCCTGGATCCTACCTACGTACCTAATCAGTAATAGAAATCTATAAATGGGGCACATTGTTTATTTAGTTCTATTGTGATCTCCCATGACCCCTAGGTACTAGGGCAAATCTAAATAACCTTGTCCTTTATAACTAACAGTCCCTATTTTGAGCAACCGTTCTGTGTTTCTCTTTAAAAGATTACAGTGTTATATGAAAGTGCTCCCATTCTTAAAGATTTAATTCTTCCTTCCAAAATTGAGAATTTCCATGATTTGGTAATGGGGAAAAGAGAGAAACATCTTGACTTCAACGCAAACATATGGATACTTAAGGCACCGAGTCTTGCCATTTCACACAGTTCAATTTTTAACTCTTTTCTACAGCAAATAAATTAAGTGAAGTCAATGACAGAAATCCTGCTACATAGTTACACTTGCAGAAGGCAAATGGCAAATTCCACTGCAAATTGGCAATTGAGTCCCCATTTGGATTTTCAAGCATGTGCAAACCCAGCAGAGTCTGGCATGCACCCAAACATCCAAGTGGGGCCTTGATAACTGCCTGAGAGAAGCCACTGCAAGTTACATCATTTGTATTCTGCAGGCATATGAAAGCGACAGGATTTGAGCCAATGAATAATAGGTAAACTTTCTGCAATATGTCACGGAGCTCAGGAGCAGACAGAATGTTTCCTAGGTGGAAGTACATGCATTTAAAGTATCTCTATTTTCAGCACTGAAATGCTATAAGGTACATTATATATGGAGAGATTATAATAAATTTTCAGGAGGGAGGGACTACAGCTCTTGGAATAACTTCGGCCATGGTGGCTAGTGTATTCTAGAAGCTGTAGTCCAAATCAGCACCTTTTCATTATTTTTACATATGGCTACCAATACTTGCTTAGAGAAAAGTCTACAGTGCATTTCCAGGTGTGCTCCCCACCCATCCCCGATTCAAAAACGTAGCAGTCATAGATAAAACCATGCAATCCAATTCAAGTTAACTCAGACAATGAAACTCCAATTGTGTTTTAAAGGCGGGAGTGCAGAAAAAAAAGTCAAGACAGCGGAACTACCAGAGCCAAAGTCCTGCCGTGCTTGCAGTGGCAGAGTAAGAGCCAAGAGTTGGGGTGGGGGTGAGCCGCTGGAGGGAAGGCATCTGGGGAGCTTCTTCCCTGCTGAGGGAGGCCTTTAAAGAGAACGGGAGCTCTTTGGATTTCTCAAATCAAATCATGCTTCAGAAAACGTGAACTCATATTTTTCTTGGTTTGTAGACTTCTCGGCACAATAGAGAATTAAGAAGTCCTAATAAAGGCTATAACAAAAGGGAAATGACCTAGCAATGTGGAACTTAGAACTTAAAATTAAAAGATTCCTTCAAAAAGTGGTACCAGCCATGGCTTTAACACTAAAGCGCTAATACTTCTTATGCTTTGAAGACACATTACTCCACCAAAATGCTATGGTAAAAATGCTTTCAAAAAAGAATAAAGTTATGGTATAATATATTGTGAAACGCCCCTGAAATACATTCAACTTTCATCTTTGTAACTACTTCAAGTTTATTCTTGCTTTAAAATGGGAATCAAATGTGCCTTAAAAGGCACAGTTGCAAATCCCTCCAGATCACTATTTTTAAAAAAATTTCCTTGAGTTAAAAAAAACATTCTTTTTGTTTTGAGGTAAATTATTTTTCCTGAGTAGTTAAAAAAAGAAAAAAACCTCTACTACATATTTTACAAAAATAAAAAGACAACTAGTTTATTAAACAATCTACATTTCTTTTTTTTAAAAAAAAAACCCAAACCCCTTCCCCCTCAAACCCACTGATGCCACCTGCTTTAACAAGTTTACTCTTGATGACTTTAAAGGCCATCAAGAGGAACCGATGCCCATGAAAAGGAGCCAGTGTCATGATATAATGCACTGAATGATCCACAGTACCAGTGGTAGCCGACGGCCCCTGGAGCTGATGAGACAGAAAGTGGAGTCACCAAATGCTGAGCCAATGACATCTAGCTTGCTATCCAGCTTCATCCTTTCCACAGTCTAAGTACACCTAATGCTGCCCCCTGCTGGATGAGAAGAGCATTGATAGCTAGGTGGGTAGAGCCCTACCTGCCCAAACAGGAGAGCCAGCCCCTTGACAGAGTGACACCTATGTGAGTTCAGAACCAAAGAGAAATATCCAGGAGGTACATAGTATGGAAAAGGGTGCTGGGAAGGGAACGAGACCTGGCTGACTACTTTACAATGCTGGCATGGAAAAGGGAGGACTAGGAAAACAGCTTCATAATAAATAGATTATCCTGAGTTCGTTGAGTGACTACTTTTCATTAACACAGAGACGCAACCACCACCACACAGTCAAAGTTTCAAACAGGTTTTGAAAACAAAAATGTATGCAAATCAATCTAGGGGAATTCTTGCATCCAAAGAGGGGTGACTTTTCTAAGAGACTAGAAGGGCTCTCTCACCATCCCTCAGTTTTCATAGCCACGCAGGTTTGCAGCCTCTCAGAGACAGAAGTGCCTGGAGCAACTAAGCTTTTAGAAAGAAGAATTCAACAGCCCCAACAGCTTCCCCTCCAGGAGACCCAAGATGATGCAGAAGAAGAAGAAGAAGCCAGCCACTCTCCACTAATGTCGGGACCCATACATTTTATCCCACTCAGCATACAAGTCCAGCTCCTTCTGAGAGACGGTGGGATGAATCTTGCAGAAAACGCTTTCAAAATCTTTGTATGAGGTGGGTTGAAGCTGTCCTGGGAGACTGTGCAGCTTATTGGCCCCAGCCTGCTGACAAAGCTGAATGAGCTCGCTGCCGGAGTAGCTCTTTGTGAGTTGTACAATGGAGGCCATCTCTCTCTCGCTGAGACAGTAGTTTTGCTGGGCTAAAGCATGGTGCAGGATCTGCCGCCTGGCAACACTATCTGGTGGAGAGACGTAGAAGCGCCTGGCAAATCTTCTCTGTGTGGCTTCGTCCAGGTTGCCAGGCCTGGTTGTGGTTGCTATGACAACCACATTCTGCTCGCCTGAGGTAGCAAGGTTATCCAGGTAGGAGAGGAGCTGGGACTTCAGGATGGCAGTGTCCTCTAGAAAAGATTCCACATCAGTGAGGAGGATAACAGCTGGCTGCCGGCAGTTGGACACAAAAAACATTGCCTGTAAGATCTTCTCAGCTTCAGCCTTCCACTTGGAGACCAAGGTTGTGCCACTGAGCTTCAGCAGGGTGGATCCCAGCTGAGTAGAAATGCACCGGCTCAACAGCGTCTTCCCTACACCACGGGGTCCAAACAGAAGGATGGTTTTGGGTGGTCGGCTTGCCCCGGTGTAAGCACCTGGCCTTAGGATAGGCCATACCAGCTCTTCTTCAATGGCAGCTTTGACAGAAACCTGCCCTGCAATGTCTGTCCACTGCACTGGAGGACTACAGTCAATGATCTTGTTGTTCACCAGTTCCAAAATAAAAGGGTCCATGGTTTTTAGCTGCTCTTCTACCGCCTGGTTGCTGCTGTCACTACCAAATGCTGGAGCTTTGGGCGGCATCCTCAGAGCAAAGGACTCCCCCTCATGCTCACCATTGGCAGCCGGAGGGGTGAACTTCTCAAAGTTTTCACTCGGCCTCAGAGGGGCTTCACCAACATTGTAAGCTGGAGAAACCAGTCCTTTCATGGGCTGGCTGGCGTATTTCCCAAGGGGCTCCTCGGATGCCACCGCTGCCGCTGCCGTGACACCTGCTCCTGCTGGCCTTTTCCCACCTTTGAAAGGCACCTCCGAGCTTCGGTTGAATCCATTCCCTCTACATTCACCGCTGTCGGATAGCTGATACGGAGACTTTGGTTGCTCATAGCTGTATTTGCGATATCGGCCTTCGCTCTCATCCTCACCACCACCCGTGATGTCGAAGGCCTTTCGTTTCAGGGAACTCCCCGACTCATTACTGAGGGACGGCACCGTGAGGGGGCTTTGGTAGGTATACCCAGGGACCACAGGGGGACGAGAGGAAGGAGGAATGGGAGTGGGGGCCGCAATGCCTGAGGGCAAATACGAGGCGGATGGGTGGGGCGGGTGGATGGTGGCATAACCGGGCTGGGGTGGGTAGCTGCCCGAGGCATAGTTGTACATTGGTCCTGTGGAGCTATAGCCAGGGACAAGGGCGGTGGAAGGATGGCTAGGCTGTAGGAGGCCTGAGCTATGCAAGGTAGATGGGTGTGGAGGTGGAAGCGCTGAAGCAGGCTGGCTGCAGTAGCCTGATGGCAAATAGGCCCCACTGTAGCCTGAAGGGTATTCCTGAGATGTCCCAAGACTGCCAGAAGCAGCAGGTCCCCCACAAGTGTTACTGGGGTAAATGGAGTCAGAGATATTACTGGAGATCACGGGGGAGGTGCCAAGGCTGTTCCCTGGGGTGACCGCAGGAGGGACAATCCCCTTGGAGCCAGGCAATCCGTCATGGATCGGAGTCAGCGGGTAGGCCCCTTCTGAGCTGTGTGCCATCGACCAAGGCTCCATCTCTCCCTTCTGACCGTTGAGGGGCCCAAAAACACCATCCCCATAGGTGTTGAGCGCTGATGGCCTGTCATAAGGGGAGTCCAATACTCCAGAGTACTTCTCAGCATACCTCTTCAGCAGGTTGGAAGCAGTCAGGGCAGAAATGTCATCATTGGCCCAGGCATAGTTGAAGCGCTGCCGGCTGTTGTGGTAGAGGTCAGATTTGTGGGCAGGCGAGGAGGTAGTGGAGGAGACATCAAGGTGCTGCTCCGGCCACTGATTCAGGGGCTGAGCATGCTCTGGTGTCCAGTGCATCTTTGACAGAGCTGGAGGAAGAAAGAAAACCAGGATTAGACTCTTCTCCAGTAACGAAATGCCACTGTGTAAGCCTCTGTGTGTGCACCTGTGTATTTCCTTATCATCTACAGTGGGGTCTCGACTTAAGAACTTAATCCGTATTGGAAGGCAGTTCTCAGGTCGAAAAGTTCTTAAGTCGAATCTGCATTTCCCATAGGAATGCATTGAAAACCATTTAATCCGTATCTGCTCTTTTCGGCCATAGAAACTAATGGGAAGCTGCTATTCCGCCTTCTGCCACTAGAGGGGGATATTTTTTCTTTTTTCCTTTTAACATAAAATGACCTAGCTTTTTAAAAAGGGAAAAAAGAGTTCGTAACTCGAATCTAAGTTTGTAAGTCGAGTCCATATATTCCTATGAGAGCGGTTCGTAAGTCGAAACGTTCGTATGTCGAGCCGTTCGTAAGTTGAGACCCCACTGTACCACTAACAAAAGGACCCTTGCCTCACATCTTTAGGAAATGCTCTGAGAGCCAAACTGTATGCTACAAACTGCCTTCGATTAGAAAAGGGAATTGCTTAAGTGTTGAAAACATCTGATTAGCACAGCAGAAGCTTTTCACACCTCCCATAGCTTTCAAATCGGGTTGTTTTGTCTTCCAGAGATAAACATGAGCTTCATATGCAATTATGATTTCCCAGACACAAAGTTAGCCTGAATCGCTTCTTTAGAAACCAAACAGTTTTCAGCTTCTAATTTGATACACAAAAGCCATCAAACAAACTTATGCAGCGGTCACAGCTGGACACACTATGCCTGCCCAGTTTAATGAAGCCACAACCACTGGAGCTCCTAGGTTCAAGCATGGCCATGGCTTATTCTACCTACATCTACATGTGTTCCCATGAGCAGGAGCTGCCTCAGAGTAGATGTATCTTCCAGACTGCTCCTCTTAGCTTAAAACTATACAAACGGCAAACTTATTCACATATTAGAGACACCTGCCATTTCATGATGGTACTGCAGGCCTCAAATACATAATAATAATAAAGAATAAGTCCCAGGGGCCATTGCCCAGGTTCAGCTTACTATGCATGCCAAGTTTGAAGTGTCTAGGTTTTTTTTGTGGGGGTTTTTTTTTGGTCTTGGGAGTTATTGCTCTGAGAGACTGACAGCCAAAAAGACACACATTCCCTTTTATTATGGTAGATTACTCATGTGAAAAATACTGATATTTCTTTGTCTACCCACACAACCACTGTGCAAAGTGAATTAGGTTGGGAGTTAGCGACTTAACTAAGGCCACACGTGAGCTTCATGAATGAAAGTATGGAAGCCAAGGAACTCCAAGCCCTATTATAGCAATCCTCCAAACACACCTAATAAACATGATAATTAATTTAAAACATTTCTAGAGTGTGTGACTCATGAAATTTCAGGGTGATGTGCTAGAGTGAAGTACAGTACAAATTAAAAAAACAACTAAGGAGATGCAACTTTTTTTTAAAAAAAAACTTGCCCAGTCAAACTATTGATTAAAAGCCTCAGTAAATAGATTTTGTTGGGTGCTAATGCAGCACCAGCACAAGGTGAGACCCTTTTCAGGGGCAGCATGGAGGTGCCACTCATCAGGGCCCTCTCCCTTGTACATGATCATCATACCTCGGAGGAAGGATTTTCAGGAAGAATGGTCTCAGCAGAATACAGTATGTTATGGAATAGACAGGCTGATATGGGGGGAAGTACCTCTTTGAATATTTGGATCCCAAGCCCTTTAGGGCCCTAGAAATAAGAACCAGGATCTTTAAAAGGGCCTGGAAGAGAACAGCTGGCCAGTCATGTTCCTTCAAAATCAGCACTGCAGGGTGCAAATGGGGCTGTACCAGACAGCATGCTGATACAGTATCTGTGTTCAATACTAATTGAAGCCTCTGAACCATCTTCAGGGGTAGCCCCATGCACAACACATTGCAGTAATCTAATTAGGAGTCTCCCAGAGCATGGATCATCATGGCCACTATGTAAATGTGCTCTGACGGGAATGTTCTCTGTCAAGTTTAGCACATTAAGAGTGAACCTCTGTTATTTTTAAAAGAACGAAGTGTAACTCTAGCTTTGAGCCAGAAAGGGAATGAAGCAGATGCATTGTGTTATATACGTAGAAGTCGAAGCCTGTTAACAGCTGTGTGCGTGTTATATAGAAGTCGAAGCCTGTTAACAGCTGTGTGCAATTAGCTAATGGCTATGCTTCAAAATGTGGTGGCGCTGCGGGTTAAACTGCAGAAGCCTCTGTGTTGCAAGGTCAGAAGACCAGCCGTCGTAAGATCGAATCCATGCGACGGAGTGAGCTCCCGTCGCTTGTCCCAGCTCCTGCCAACCTAGCAGTTCGAAAGCATGTAAATGTGAGTAGATAAATGGGTACCACCACGGTGGGAACATAATGGCATTCCGTGTCTAGTTGCACTGGCCACGTGACCATGGAAACTGTCTACAGGCAAATGCTAGCTCTATGGCTTGGAGACGGGGATGAACACTGAACACTGCGCCCTAGAGTCAGACACGATGGGACTAAATGTCAAGGGGAACCTTTATACTTTAAAACAGTCATGTGTTTACCTGATTTACAGGGTTGGCTTGAAAGTACCACATTTTTCGCTCCATAAGATGCACTTTTCCCCCCCAAATAGAGGGAGAGAAAGTATGTGCATCTTATGGAGTAAATACAGTAAAAAAAGGGGGTTCAGCTACCACCACCCAGAAGCCTCCCACTGCCATGCTGGGAGGTCTCTGAACTGGCACCAGAGACTGCTTGCTGTTTGGACCTCACCATTCTGCCCTGCTAGCTTACCAGGATCTGCTTCCTGCAGCCCACCTGGAAAACCAGCAAGGCCAACAGGCCTATGGCAGCAGGCAGTGAAAACAGCCAAGGACCAAAGGGTGATTCTAGAAAGACCAAGGGAAATGATACAGTCCCCCACTTAGACAGTTGATTTTCCCACATTTGGGGAAATCACAGGGGTCAGCACATCCAAAGTGCAATAGATGAGCCT